GTGAAACAGCACAGGACACCTTGTGCAGCTCCACAATGCACAGGAAGATAAAATGTCTAGGTTTGGGGGAGAAGAGGCCAAAATGCAGTGGAAAACACATTCTTTGGGAAGTGAGCATTATAGTTTCTAGAGAGAGCATTCACTGCAAACCCAGTAGGGAGAGGCTTTTATGTGCGTCAGGATGCTGTAGGACCTGACTGCTCCACAAAGTGTGGGCCCTCCCCTGGGCCCCCAAGGCGTGAAGCAAAGCTGGAGCGGCTTCCTCTGCGAGATGAGGGAAAGATTTGAGAAAAACCGGTTAAGTCTTACAGTGACTTTGATGGACCATTTCTGAGACAAGGACCAAGACCCCACACTCAGTGATACCCACTAGGACAGCTTAGCATCTCTCGTAGGGCAGGCAGCATTGGACTAAGCACGCCCATCCCTGCTGTCCCTATGCTCACACCCGACTTTGCTGACAGGTGAAGGAGAAAGGTGTTGTGCAGTGCAACGCGCTTCTTATGTGTTTCTGAGAGAGGATGAGTGCCACAGCTATAATTGTGGGAAGCTGCAGGGACCTGCCCTCACTAAAGACTTGTCACAAGGGTTTCTCTTTGGGATAATGACGCTGTCACTGTGACCATCTTAAGAGATGGCAACGGGTGTCCACTCTGAACCCAATGCTCCCGCAGTGTGTTAGCCTGAGTCCCCACGGTCGTGTGGATTTCTTTCTGCTCCCTAATCTCATTACTACTAAATGAATGTTTTATTGGAAGAAAAATTGTGTTCCCCTTTTAACTAAGTCATTTGGCAGGTACAATATATGCACAAGCTCTGTGACTCTGCCATGGAAAAGTGTGCAGCCTTGGTACAATCCTCGGTCAGGTTTTCATTTTCTTTTCTGTCTGTGCTTGGCCCGTCCCAACACTCTAGCTGGTGACCTCCATGCTGAGTAGACAAAAGGGCAGTTACAGGGAAAAGAAACTCAGCAGCAGCATTTAAAATTTTATCCAATTTTCCAAGTATCGCTGAGATCGAGTTTAAGAGGCCTTGCAGTGACTGATGCCAAGAGGCGCCTACGACTGACTTCTCTATTTCCTCCCCAGCCCTGCTAGGTCCTCAGCCTGCCCCTGATGTCTGCTCACCTTCATGCAGGCTGAGGGGAAGATGCCTCCAACCTCTGCACAAGTGAGGGTGGTGCCTGACGTGGTTATGGGGCTCTTGTGTCCCTGGGCCTACATTCACCTCCTTGGAAGGAAGACTTATCTGGGGAGAAACTTGTCTCCTGGGATGTGTCACCAGTGCTCAGCCGTCAATTGTGGGGCTGTGGGTGTCTGCCGAGCTCTAATCACATGCAGGTGCACAGGGCTTCAGCAGTGGCCACTAGGAGAAAGCGCAGATGTTCTGCAGAGCTAGAGCTGGGTGGATTTGCAGAGGCGGGATTTTGGTTACTCAGTGAGGGCGGGAGACCCTGCAGGTGCACCCGCACGCCATAGCTGTAAAGGACGCCCAGTCATGGGGTCACATTCCCATCCCAGAGAAGAGGAATTTTCCCATAGACTTACCCAGCAGGGAAATCTGTCCCAGAGCGGGAAGGTCAGCACAGGCCCCTTCGCCAGAATGCTTGGAGAATGCGATACAAAATGAGAGCGCTGTGCTATCTCAGGGCAGGCTTATGTGTTGTTGCTAGAATTTCCACTTGGGGTACTACATGGAGTTAGCACTCCACAAATAGTAAGCTACACATTTAGTAATTATTAATGCCCAGATCTCAGGAGTCTTCTGATCACGGAAGAATGGAAGTAACAGTTGCAGCCATCCCGGGTGGGACGAATGACCACAGGGTGTAGTGGCCTTGCTCTTCTGCTGTTCCCTGGTGTCGGGAAGCAGACACTTGATGTCCTTCAATCTGTCTGATCCAGTGTGCTGTGCTTTGCTGGGAAACTGCTTCAGGGACACAATAGCAAGTGTCCATACCCACTTCCACAGACACAACCAGTATAAAGATGAGGCCCTGAAATGTGATTTCCTGATAGTCTGACCGATTGAGAACCTGTATTTCTTGAGAGGTCACCTATTAAGTAATGTATACAATACTCCTGTGGCAGGCCCTGTTCTCTAAGCCTTGTGAGTACAGAGGTAAGATTAAGACTCAAGTCTGTCTTCTAGAAACTCCCTCTGAAGGGCAGGAAGAAGTGCTGGCATTGGGGACAGGGATGAACAGACCAGCAAAGGTGTATCACTGGGGTAGGAATGGTGAGGGCTTCTGTAGACTTATGGGGGTGGGCAGGAACAGTTGGTGTTTTGGGCCCAGTCTCGGGGTGCAGGAAGAGGGGCATCATCACAGCTGGAATAGCAGATGAGTCCCACAGTTCAAGAGCTCAGCACATTTGCAGGAGGGCCGATGCAGAGATACTAGGTCTGGGGTGAAGCACTAGGAGGTCCAGAAGTGTGGCAAAGGTGCCAGCCTTACCGCAGCCATAGCACAGGTGTCCAGCACCCAGATTTTCCTGTCAACCCAGTGCAAGGTGGAAGTTCTTGCCTCTGAAAATGTTACAGCTCTCATGCTTTTAAAACTCACTTATTACCAATCATCTGCTCTTCACTTCCTGTCAGTCAGGCCCTCACTGCCCTTCATGGACTCCTCATCCCTCCACTTTTGTTAGGTTTGCCTGTTGTGGCCTCCAGGAGGCAGCATGACACAGACAAAAAAGGAGACAAAGCCAGGACTCTGGAGCAGAGGTTGGAGTGGGAATCTTGGCTGTCACCTGCCAGCTGCAGGATCGTGAATGCAGCACATCACCCTGCACCTCAGTGGCGGTCTGCACAACGGCAGTCAGGGCCTCCCAGGAGCAGGAGGCTGTGACAGTGTGGGGGATTCCTATCTGCACTCCTTTCCTCTAAAGTCCATCCAAGTTCCACCTTCTGGGGCTGGGGCAGCCCCGCTGTCCTGGGAGCTTGCTCTTTATAGAACTATGGCCACCAGTGCCTTCTCTGTCCCTCACCATGCTGAGATTGTCACCCAGAGCCATTCTGGGTGTCACACTCAGTGATACCACTCTTACTCTGGAGATACCTCTGCTCTGGTAGGAGTGGCCAGATCCACATCCAGCTGCTCCCCCCTGGACCAATGTGGCCACTTACACTCATACACGGGCGCAGGCGGGAGGAATCACAGTCCTCTTGGAAAGTGACTAGGACACTCACAAGCTTCTCTGTCCTCACCACCTGTTCAGGAGGGCTTCACTCAAGGCCTCAGAGACATATCTGTTCACAAAGTACACTCAGTTCCAGCCCCTGACGCTTCTTCTAGTTCTTCCTCTCAGGGAAGGAGCAACCCAAGTATGTCCCCACCTTTTCTACCTGTAAGAGAAGGTAGGTACAAGGATGTCTTATGCTAAGAACTGTTTTGCTTCCTGCATCATTTCTAAGCCAAATGTGAAAGCACTAGGCTGTGTGCGGCAGGCTGAATGGTTTGAGGCCAGGAAGCTTAGCCAGGTGAGTGTCACTCATATCACCCTGTGAATGAATCAGAAATGCTGCAACTACAGTAATCAAATTACAGGCTGGGTGAAACAATGCCAGCTGCTGTGGGGACCTATACTGCACTGGAGAAAGGTGAAAGGGAAAAACAAGGGTGGCATCCTTCCCTCTCAGTATCATCTTACAAAGCAGTGGCTGCAAACCCATGGCATCCTTCCCTCTTGGTACCACCTTACAGAGCAGTGGTGGCAAACCTATGGCACATGTGCAGCAGCAGACTGTTATCACTGAAAGCTCTTGCAGGGTAACCATCACTGTTATGGAGCATCAACACGATGCTACCTGCTACATGCATGACCGGACTCGTCGTTTCCCCATTCAAAACAAAAATAAAACAAAACAAACTCCTCCCCTCAAACAAAAACCTAAGGTAAGTAAAGACATTATTCCAGTTTTACAGATGGGGTCTGGGGGCTCAGCATGGTGTGGGCTCATGTAGCATCACAAATCTAATCAATGGCACACCTGGGATAGGAACTCAGGTGTCCATTTACTGTCTAAATTTACTTTCTGGAAAAAACAAGGAGGAGAAAGCGTGCGTTTTTGTTTTTGTTTTTTTTTAATAATTATTTGTATAAATTCCCAAACCACCTCACAGTTCTAAAAACTTTCTGAGTACCAAGAACACTGTTTGCCCTGAGCCACTGGATTTTTTTTTGGTACTGGAAACTGAACTCAGGACCTCACACTTGCCAGGCAGATGCTGTGCCGCTGAGCTATATCCCCAGCCCCCCGAACCACTGGAGAGTAAATTAACATGGCCCCAAAGCTCCGTTCCCACTCCTCCACAGAACTACTGAAGTCAGAAAACCAGCACTGGGGTCTCACACCAAGCTAATCTTCAGGTTCCACTCAAGTTGTGTGTACTGTTCCAATAATCTATTTTGTAACAAAAATATGCATTTCAGACCCAGGTACTGTGTCATGCTGTCATGTTTTCTTAGTCTCCCATAACCTGGGATTGTTTTACTGTAATATAGTGCATGATGAAGAAAAGCCATGCCTTTAGCGGGCTCTGGCTCTCCAAGGTTGAGTGGAGAAGTGGATGGCAAGAGGGCCCTGTAGTCCTGGACATCAGGTCATGACAGTGCAGGGGACCTTTTACTCTTGTGCCCCGGAGCAGACAATGAACAAGTGTGGGCTCAGGCCAAGGCTCCACCTCACGCTTTCTGCTCAGCACTAGCTGGTTCTATGAAGAGTTACATCTCTGACAAAGACCACTGTGTGGTGACTGGAACATACGGGCAGAATTGCTTCTGGAAAATGGATCTCATCCACTTTTATCCATTTTTGTCTTTTGTGTATTCCTCATGAAAGAAAATGAACTGAAGTCTCCTGAAATCTGCTTCTTCCTTCTTTAAAAGAAACAATAAGAAAGCAGCCTTTCACTTTAATAGAGACTTCAACTGGCGTGAACTGCTCAGCTGTATCCTTTCCCCCGTCCCCAATACACACAGATAAGGCCAAACACAGTCCTTAGTGCTGGTTATTTATTTTGAAAATTCACTTGGTGTTTAGATGGTAAACAGGAACTAAGAGCTAGTTATCATTTTTAAACTCTAAAAAACAAAATTTCCTATGTGCAAATTTTTTAAATATAGAGGAATGTTATAGAATCACACCTAAAACAAACCAGCTATGGACGTTACTCTCTCTTCCAGTAGGTCTGATTTACCAATACTTGTTTCTGAGCCTTCATTTTGTGCTGGTGATATCTCCTTGATTCGGGCACCCAGAGTGGGAGTCTGGCTTCAGATATGAGCTGCCCAGAACGCCTCACCATGCAGACGCCTGCAGGACCACGTGCAGCCCTGTGTATCTCATGGTTCCTTCCCATCTGCAGCTTGGCTTTTTACCTCTGAGAAGTCATCCACTTTGGTGCTGAAGCCAAGCCAAAGGGGCTTTAGGTCTTGAGAGGAAGGACAGCACCATGCTGTCTCCGAGGGATGACAATGTCACAGGGGCTCTCATGGAGGAGAAAATGGAATGCTTCGATGCATGCTCAGCTGTCATTGCAGCCAGTGGGATGTACTGGTCTCTAAGATTTCAAGATGGAGTCAGTTCCGGGAATACAGCCATACTGCTAGCCCACCCTCAGCCAGAGACTGTGCTGCTCTTCACAGGGCCAGTGTGCTGAGAAGGCAGATTCACATGATCTGATGGCTCTCTTTGGTTCACTGACAAAATAATTTCTTTCCAACAAATAAAGTTAAGGCAAATGGAAAAAACCACAAAACTATATATTATACTCAGCAACTTAAAATACCTTTCCATAAATTATTTACTAGGAAACTTTCAGAAGAGTCATAAAGTAGCTAAGGATATTATTATCATCAGTGGTTGGCCTTTAATAGTTTACTACAAGAATCAGAAAGAGCAATTACATGGTTGTCCTGTGCACATTTGATCTTGGACAGCCTGGTGCCTCCCCTTCTCAGCTCTGGAGGAGTGGGGCTACAGGGAGCCCATTGCCTGGAGGCTACTGGGAATCGAACTCAAGACCTTGCGCTTGCCAGGCAGGTGCTGTGCCACTGAGCTATATCCCTGGCTGCAGGCGAAGGTCTGCAGAGAGCTCACTGCTACTGTATGGCAGGAGGCAGAGTGGGGATCCTTCAACAACTCTTCCCTATGAGCTGGTGAGTGCGATCTGGAGAACTTTATTTTTGATCTAATGAAGGTATGTCACAAAGTCACACTGATGGTCTCAGCCAAGACCTGGGCAGTGTTAAGTCTGGAATGACTTTGACCTTTCATCCTTAAAGGAAACCCAGGTCCACCAGCAGTATCCACTGCTCATCACTTCCTGCTACTGGGACATCAGTGTGTCCTTGTTATGATCTCACACACCTCATATTCACCGATGTCCTTTCTGTTTTTTTAATATTTCATCACTTCCTCCAGGGGAGCCTGTCCTACAATGTAACTCAATTAAAATCACTTGGATTTTCTTTCGTCTGCAAGGATCCTGCCAACCAAAACACACGGCATAGTGTCACTGGCTGTCTTGTGCAGAGAGGTCCTCATTCAGATCACAAATGCAATTACTCACCACTGTTCATTTCAGCCTGTACCATGAGGAGCTGGTAGTTTTTAAGCCAAGAGGTTTTAAATATTTTTCCTATCTAATATCAAGCATCAAAATTAAATAGTTCCTTACTAAATACAGTACACCTACTGACACAGGTCTTGGCTGCAGGGGCTTGTGTCCTTTGTCATCACTTCTATTTTAGACAGGTTATCCTTTACCCAGGCAGCAATCATTTCAGCTAAGTCTTGGCTAAAACGCAGGACAAAGGCATGAGGTATATTTTTCTGACAGAGTCGAATATCTCCTTCTGGAAAATCTTTCTTTATGTCTTCATAGTACTGTGTTGGACACCAACGGTCTATGGTTCCATAGTAAAATGTCATCTGAAAGACAAGACAAAATGTTCCATTAGGAAACACCTTCTCCTCCAATCACAGCTGTGACAATGGTGGCCACAGCAGTACCCGTACATGGCCCGTCTGCCTGTCTGAGGGCTCCCTCACATGTGGTGGCAAGACCACATCACGGGGCGGCATGAAAAGGATCGGATGCAGACAAAGCCATATAGGGAGGCCCTTATGGAGCAGGTCTCCAGCAGTCATGTGTGCAAAGGTTGAGAGGATGGCTGAGGATGAGGATGAGTTAATGAGGCATAGGAATGGTGACTGTTTAATAAATGTAATAGTTTTCACACAGCCACATGGTAGGCATCTGGATGTGTTTGCTGAATGAATGCTAAGGTAAATCGGACAGACTCAGGCTTTTCAATGTAGTTGATGAAACATGATCAGTATTCCAAGAGAGTTACTGACGTTTCTAAGAAAATGCTTCATACAACAGGAGAGTATGTTGCATTCAGTGGGAGGTACTGTAATCATACCTCGGGCGACCACAGGAAGGCTGAATGGAGACAGTGTTCTTTGGTACATTACTAAGACCTTTATCTTCCTACCCCTGTATCTGATACACATATAGAAACACTGCTTATCTATGACATATGGTTATATATTTGATATGTATCATCTATATGTAGTTCTAGGCAGCTGCACCTCACTGAAAAATTTTTACGCTATAGTTCTGTATTCTTTCTAAAAAGGCAACACAAGCAAAAGCTTATACTCAGGTAGACAGTGGTAATTCTTATGAAAAATAAGGACTAAATTTTAAGGACTCCAGGACATCTGTTTTCACTGAGAAAAAGTGAGGACTTGCTTCAGCCCCAGGTCGGTCTGAACAAGACACCTGCAGTGCCCATAAGATGCTAAGTTTGCTTTCTCATTCAAACACTCACTTACTCTTTAGTCTTTTCAGGAGCATTTCTCCCATAGTAGGACAGTATGACTGTCTTAGGGCAGAAGAGATGGGATCCACTACTCAAGGCCACCCGAAGCCAGATGAGGGGAGGCAGTGGGCAGGAACGACCCCTCAAAGAGAACTGAGGCCTGGGTGGAGTCTTTGAGCTGGGGAGGACACTGCGGGCAGCAGGCCAAGCAAAGTCACCTACACGAAAGAGCGTGGCAAGGCTGTGGGAGCTGGAGGTAAGGAAATGTCTGGAATGTCAGGTGGTGAGAGTAAATGGCACGGCAGAAGGAGATCAGGCCATGACAGCCTTCTATGTCTTTAAGGAGGAAGCACTGTCTTCTCAAATCCACAGAGCTAATGAAATGATGCAATCAGCTCTTTGTGTTAGGAAAATTACTCTGTCTGGTAAGACAGTCCAGAGGGGATCAGGTGGTAGGGGAAGAAGTTTTGGGTGTTAATTGCTCTCTGGATAGTTTTATTACATCAATCATTAAATCCATGATCTGTATATGGGACAGATGACATTGCTCTTATAAAAATACTGGCCTTTACTATAATAACATCACAACTTCACCAGTATTTACAGAGACAGTTAAAAATATCTTTTCTTTTTTTAGAGACAGGGTCTCATTATGCTCAAGGCTGGCCTCAAACTCGTAATTCTCCTGCTTCAACCACCCAGAGTGCTGAGATTATAGGTGTGTGCCTCCATGCCAAACTTAAACCTTTAAAGAGAAAAACAATGTAGTATGCCAGAAAGTAAATCATTAACAACCAAACCTTGAGTGGCTGATTTCATTCTGAATAATCGCTTTGTAGAGGTTTTTCTGGGTCTCTTCTGAATGTTGCAGAGGACCTGTGCCTTACAGACAGCCACGTATTTTATTCTTCCCAATCTTTTATCCATTCCAACCCTACTCCAAAGCCCCTAAGACCAAAATTTACTTTGCCCTGGGTCACAGAAGGTATAAATTTGTTTTGTTTCTTGGAGACTAGAAGAGCCCAGCAGTTGCTGGTTCTTTCTCCTGGTCTCAGCTCTTTTGATAGCTCTAAAATGGCCTGTTCTGCAGCTTTCGAGCTGTGATCTCACCACTAGAGTTGGCCACTTCGGCCAGTAATGGAAATATGTATTTCCCAGGACCTGTCAGCAACTACCCTGCTATAGCTTCCCCTTAAAAACCTGCTCTAAGTACAAGCCACCTGCAAGTATTAATATTAATTACTAAGCAACAGGGTTAATAACTTCAGGTGCTCACTGAACCACTTCCTACACTTAACCGCCAGGAAATCTGTTAAACTACATTCAGGAAGTATCATGTGTGGCGGTCACTATGCACAGTTGCTCAGCATTTCCCCAGAGCATGAAACGGGGTTGAGAAATCTAGGCTTAGGAGTTGTGCCCATTAGGGCTGCTCTTCTGCTCTTGCCTAACGATGCCAGGACACCGATGAAGCCACACTGGGGCCCTCACACCAGTACCTGCTATAGTGTTAAGTCTCAGGAAAACTGGAATAATACAGAAGCATCAGCCAGAGGAAAGTAAGGCAGAAGAGACCTCGCCTCACAGTCTCCTTGACAAGAGTGTCATTGTTCACACGTGTTCTTCCTTTCTGCCTGACATTTTAAGAACTACTTCTATGAAGAACCTAACATTTCCTTTTCAATAAGGCAATTATAAATTGAAATGTCTCCACTCAGCAGCCAGCTTGATGAGTCTTCAGCATCAGAAAAGTCACCTCCTCCTCATGCATGAAGATTCAGACAGGCAGCTGAACAGGGTGAACCACAAAGGGCTCCTGAACCCACCTCAGTGTGAAGAGATGAAACCATGTCCCAGTCATTATGAGCACACGGTGGCCACGGATGTACTAGGAACCTCAACAAAATCAGTGTTGGTGTTCAAGACATTAACAGTGAGGATTCCATATTTCCCTTATAGTCATCTGAGTGTATTTCTAAGTTCTGTATGACTGATAATTTAGAGTAAATCTTTTAAACATTTTGTTTTGCTTTGTTCTGAGAATTTTTCAGGCTGTATTCATTGAAGGCCTCTCTATGAAAATCTTGGCTTACAAGTAAAACACATGGTTATCTAATACATTTACGAATGCTAGCTTGAAATATTTCCTGTTCCTTAAATATTATAAATCACAGGTAATAGATATGACCAGAGGACTCTGTACCTGTAACTTTAAACAGGAAAATGAGAAAGTATGGTGTGTGTGGAGGCAGTGCTGGGGAACAGGAGGAGAACAGGTGAAGGAGAGAGAGAGAGAGAGAATTAACTGGAGTCAAAACACGGTGGTTGAGAGTATATTATCACTATATGGCGGGTAAACATGAATTGCAACACGTCATCGTGAACTGACAGAACTGAGAAAGAGGTGTAGGGCTCCATGCAATACACTTCTCACGTATTACCTCAGTGCATTCTGGCAACAATACTCGCAGGATGGCATTTGATTCCTATTTTACAGACAGGAAAACTGTGGCTTGGTGAAACTGGCTAGCTACGTTCAAGCAAGGAGTGAACTGCAAGGCAGGTTAGGAATCCAGAGACAGCATTCCTGATAGATACTTTTTGCTATACTACTTACAGCTCACGGTGAACTGACCCGTGTTATGAAAACCACAAATCTGGAGACTAGGAGGTCTTAAACTGGATATAAGAACTAACAGTGTGTGATTCTTGTCAACTTGTGTAAACCCAAGTACCTTTATCTAAAGCCTTCTTTGCAGCCTGTGTAGTTCTGTATCAGGGGCATCATAAGAGTAACAACTGCTGTGAAAATTCTGAAACTCTTAATTGAGAATCTCAGGATATTAGTAGGATGTCTACATTCAAATGTCTAGAAACAAATAAATTACTATTATTATTACTTTTTGTCTTTTTGAGACAAAGTCTCCCTATGTAGTTCAAGCTAGCCTCAAACTCACAGCAATCCTCCCGCTTCAGCCTCCTGAACAGTAGGATTACAGGCATGTACCACCATGCCTGGCCTGATGTGTCACTAATAAAGGATTTATCATTAATAGAATAAAAAAATTAGAAACCACAGTAATGATCTAACAACTAAAAAAAACTATTTCAAATGACGTATCAACATTTAAAATTAATACTAACAATGAAAAAGCCACACACACAAATTACATAAATTAGTAAATGGCATTTCTGGAGGGCAGCATGCTTGGAGTGAAAGACTTTCTCATAATGTCTTTGTATTACAGTCTGGTAAATAATTTGATACTCGTTATGGTGGAGTGATTTGTGAAGTCTCTGGCTCACTGTGCAGGACACCAATGGAGCCTGCAGGGAGCACCGGTTAAGTGCTGAGCCCAGATCACGCCCACCAGCCTGGAAGCCTGGTTCTGCTCCCAACCAATGCTATAAACCTGAACCAGCTGCTTGGCCTCCATGCGACTGATTATTTTCCCACAAAGCAGGGATGGAATGGCTGCTCCTGGGGCTTGTGGTGAGATTAGAAAACAAAGCACAGAGAGTGCTCCACACACAGGAGGCAGCTTTGGAGGGTGGCTGCTTGACAGACAAGGACAGAAGGACCTGCAGACACAGTGTGCTAGTGGGAAGGGTGTGTGTAGTAGCACTTGCCTAGCATTTTCCCCACAGTGGGAGATACGCTTGGGTTAGAGGGAAAAAAGGCCTACAGCCTTCAATTAGCCTTTGAGAAATATATGTTCTTCTGATAAACTGCTTTTGTACTAGCATTTTGTAAAACCTAAAGCAAAAGTGTTTTATTAAATTTGTATCATTCATTATCCAAAAAAATATATTTCCTAGAAACTGTTGTGGAGAGACTAATAGTAGACAGGTCACCAATCTAATAAACAGTGAAGCACATCCCCTATCCTCCAGCTATCACCAACACTCAGCTCAGAGTGGACTTCTCAGATCCACTTTAAAATACAATCTACCTATCCTTGTGAGTGAGATATGGTGCCAAGCCCTGATGCCCCTCTGGTATCCTTGCCCAGAGTGAAGGAAGGCACCTGTGGCAGCTGAGATAACTGCTCACTTGGGCTTGCAGGCTCCCTTTTGTTGGCATTTTACAAAAACCTGAGC